GTTAATACAAATACAAATCTAGCTGTAAATGACACTAAATAAAAACTATGGCTTTGCCACATGCAGTGATTTTAATTTAAACAAGAGGATAAAGCCACATTTTCCTTGTGCTTTTTTGTGGCCCAGAGCCTAAAAGCTATTCACCCTCTGAAGTACTACAGAACCATTAACATTCATCTATATATTATTTTTGTATTACAGGCAGTCCCCGGGTTACGTACAAGATAGGGATTGTAGGTTTGTTCTTAAGTTGAATCTGTATGTAAGTCAGATCTGGTGTCCACATTCAGCCGCTGTTGAAACTGATCATTTTCAGCAGCGGCTGAATCTGGATGCCAGTTCCGACTTACATACAGATTCAACTTAAGAACAAACCTACAATCCCTATCTTGTACGTAACCCGGGGACTGCCTGTAATTAGAAGCTGGGAAACAAACTGGACCCCCAGGCCTGGAGATTTTTTGAGTCAAGCTCTGAGTTCTAGTTACTATTAACATGTCACTGGTTGGCAGGTTGAAACAAAAGGTTCTTAAAAGCCCTACAGATTGGGGTAGACCTATAGCCCTTGAACTTCTATGAAAACCGAATAAAATAAAAAAAAAACTCCCTTATTTATCCCTAAGTATAACAAATAGTGATTTTATCCATATAGATTTATATCTGTGGAGATCTATTATATATTTTGAAGAGTTTGTTTGTGGATTTCTTATGTAAAATAAAACCATACTTCGTGATTACCTACAGATACCAAATTTTGCATAAACAATCCTGTCACTTAAATTAACTGATTGCACTACTTTTTACACCGGAATATGCTGGGTGAAAGGTTTAAATAATTATTTTAGTTTTCATTGGAAAAATGTCATCATGGTTGTATTAGAGTTCATAAAAATATTTGCTAGCAAAATTAAAATTGAACCTTCTATTCATTTTAGTGCAAAGAAAATTTTTACTGTTACAAATCATATACTAATTCAAATTAGTTATAGAAAGAGTAATGAAAGCTTTAGGAGTTTCTGATTCAAATTTACTATGCATGTTAATTATTTAATAAAATGAATAATGTTTGAAGTTGAAATCTTACAAATTTCAAACTGTTATTTTACTTCCCTTTTGCAAGCACATTAATAAAAAATTCTATTACATTTATTTAATTTCTGGGATCTTTCCTATAAGTGTAATATACACAAAATTACTTTGCCTGGTCAACAATGGGCCTCACCTACTAGTAAATTAGAATTTCAGATCTTATATCAGACCCATGCTGTCCTTGATACCCAACTGAAAGTGGCACCATGGTTCACCATATGCACAGGCCAAATCAATCAGAGACCTAGAAGATCTATCATGGAACTAAGAAGCTCAGCTCTTTATCCTTTCGGAAAGA